CATCAGGTGTCTTATGGAGAGCAACACTGCCTCACTTGATGGTGGATCCATTAACCTACTCAGAAAATAAGCAATTCCACCTAGCCTTAAAATCTTTATTTGTAAACAAAGCTCTTCCAAAGGAGTTCTCAAAATTTCTGGCAGTTGATAGTCATCTAGAAGACTTGCTCTAAGACCATTATAAAGATGATAGCAATGTCCAGGCTGAACTCTTTGGAAAAAAAAAAAAGTTGGAGGGGAGTTATCAATGATGTTTTAGAACTCCAGAGAAAATAACAGGCAGGGAAAGTAGCCAATTATCTACTTCTTACAAGCCACATTATAACCAGTTTACATAATTATTATTTTACTTTTATGAATCATACATTCTGTCTCGCCATCTGTTTGGAAAAACCTTAAACTTTCTATCCCCATGTCCCAGTTTTAAGAAGAAATACGAGACTTCCTCCCTCTGCCAATAATTTGGTCCCTATTTCTGACAGATTTCAGATTACTGTTGTCAGCAACAGCAGTCTACTTAGGTTAAGGCTAAGAATTGTAACCTCAAATATGCCTTGTGATCATATTGTATAACAAATCCTGGTATTATGTTAACCTGTCTACATTATTGAAAAACATTTTAAATACTGTACATTCTATTTAGTGAGCTCTCAGAGGTGTATTGAAACTTTTTGTTTTATATTTGTGACTAGTGACATGAATGATATCATTTTTGGGACAATGATAGATATGAAGAGGTAACTATTAATATATTCAACATATTTTCAAGGAGAAGAAATATTTCTATAGGCTCTTGCTGCTACAGGAATAAAAATTCTAAAACTGTTAGCTGTTTCTGCCATGAGTCTACAAAGACCCATCATCTATTATATAACATGGCTGAACATCTCTTTAGTAGAAACTAAAATAAGAGTACTTCCATTAAGAACCATATAGTAGAGCTCTTTCTGGCCTCCAATATAACCATCAACCTAATTAGTCTTTGCTAAAGGAATTTATATCCATGAATCTTACAAAAGATTATTTTCCTTTTAAATTAAAACACCATAATTCCACAGTTAACCTCCACCATAGTAGTGAGGATGAATGATTCATTAAAATGTAATACTCTATTCATATTATTTCTCTAATTGTTTTATGGATCAAATCTAAGGCCTAGTGTCTTTACTACTCGCATATAAAGGTACACCAAAACTTGTTCACTACAGTGAATATATTTTGAATGAGTATTCAGTGATGATGGGTCTACACAGGAAAATCCCAGTCTTGCTGGATCCCCTATCAAGTTATTCCCTGATAATCAATGAGGAGAATACACTTCTTTGACTAAACCATAATTTTGGTTCAAAAACATCAACTGCAAAATCTAATAAACTGCCCAGAAATCAGGTTATACTGGGATAATGGATAATCCGCAAAGGCTATAGTGAGTAAGTCAGAGCTTTACAGATATTATACAAACTTAAAACAAAGGGTTGATAAAATGGTCTATTAAGTTTTCTTTTAATTCTCCTTTTCTTACTTAAATAAGTCTGTACCTGAAGATTAATGGGACTCTCTTGCTCTATGTGTAAGAGGCAAAAGAAAAACTCTCTTCTGCAACTCCAGACATGATTCTATCACTCTTATACAAGAGTGTAAAAATACTGTGAAGTGTGTATTAAAATACAGAAATAAGTAATTATTTGTAAAAGTTCAAATCATTTTTCTTACCATTAAGATGGAGAAATTTTTATTTCTTATGTTACTACCACATCAATGGGAAAAAATGACTTCCTTTGCGTTTTCATTGGTAACTAATGGTGAAAAAATCAGTCCTGCTATAAAGTACAGTGATTAGGAGTCCAGGCTGAAGAGCGGGACTGCCTGGATTCGAATCCTGGCTCTGTTATTTACAAAGCTGTGTGACTGTGACTTTGGACAATTCATTTAATTTCTTTGTATTTTAATTTCCTTACCCTTAAAATGGAGAAAATAACCTACCTTGTAGCATTGTGGTAAGGATTAAGCAAGTTAACATATATAAAGTGTCCAGGACATGACCTGACACTCAAATAGTATTAACTGTTATTATTATTAGGTAATATCTGCTTTTAAAAAAGGAAATGGATACAAAATTATAAGTAACA